CCGAAGGAGAAATTGCAAAAATAATTCGCAGTCTCGATCCTGCTGGAACTGGAGCCAAGAGAGTTAGCTTCGAAGAATTCTTTCCAATTTATCAAAATCTGCGTGATAGGCAGAAAAAACGTGGAGGTAAGAGTTTATATTCATTACCGCCTTGCTTCAGGAAGTGAGCTTAACTTAAATATTTTTTCTGATTTTATTGTTCCGTATCGCATTTGTGTTTGATAACTCTTCAGCGGCAAACTTAGGGATTTTTTTCTTTAAACGAACTGAGCTTATAATTTTCAGGCTCAAAGCTTGACGAATCGATAGCAAAAGCTATAGCGTACCTTAGCTTCCTTTATACTACCTAATAACAAATATAAGTTACTTAATATGCATTGAAAAATTAAAATAAAAACAGAATCAGTAATAAGCTCAACATTTTTGTCGCTCTGCATTGAGAATGGAAACTATTTTGATTCTCTTTAAGAAAGCTTGAAATAATGAAGTCATATCCGATCTAGTAAAAAAAATATATATAAATAGCTGTAAATAAAAAGAAATGACTATCGTTTATTACGTTTCCAGCAAGTTTAATAGTTATGTCGACTAGCGAGGTCTTGATATGAGTTTTAGGAATTGAGAATATCTAGCCTCATGAGAAAGGTGGAAATGACTTGGAAAATGATTACGCGCGGAGTTTAAGGCTAATTTATTGATTTCAAAAAAGGAATAAATAAAATCAATATTTTCAGGAAAGTCTGGGGGTACTGGGTACTCTGGGATATTGACATGTAATCGCTCGTGATAGACACGCACCCAGTGCAAATCACTTGTAGATCGTCATCTATGTAATTTGGGTTAGGATTTGTGTTTTAAAGAGCACACATTGCCATATTCACCATAGAAAATAAAAAAGTCATTTTGCTTTCAAGTATTCTCTGCATCATGATTGTCAAAAATCGAGCTGCATGTTCAAATTCAACGCTGAGGTTGATAAAACGGTAGTTTGAACTTCGGTGTGGTATTTGCCTGATGACTAGTTTCCAGTCGCCCTAATAACCAGTTTCTTTGAAAAAAATCAGGATAAAATTCAAGTGGTTCTGCCAAAAAAACATACTTTCTTGTCGTTACTTCCAAGACGCCAAAGATCTATCTATATAGTGTGTGGGTGTGTCTACAAGCTCCTCTTTTAATAACCAATCTCCCTCAAGGTTCTCAGGAGCTGAATTTAACAACCCCTTGTCCTCGTTTTTGTCAATCTGAAATTTTCCTTTATCCCTCTACGGGTTTTCAAGCGTAATTCACATTTTAAAAATAGATTCATGTATTTTATTTTTAGTTGATCCGGAGTATTTCATCGAATGCCTTCGAGTGTTTGATCGCAACTGTAATGGATTAGTTAACGCGGCAGAGTTGCGTCACGTGCTCTGTAGCCTTGGTGATAAACTGTNGCCAAAAAAACATACTTTCTTGTCGTTACTTCCAAGACGCCAAAGATCTATCTATATAGTGTGTGGGTGTGTCTACAAGCTCCTCTTTTAATAACCAATCTCCCTCAAGGTTCTCAGGAGCTGAATTTAACAACCCCTTGTCCTCGTTTTTGTCAATCTGAAATTTTCCTTTATCCCTCTACGGGTTTTCAAGCGTAATTCACATTTTAAAAATAGATTCATGTATTTTATTTTTAGTTGATCCGGAGTATTTCATCGAATGCCTTCGAGTGTTTGATCGCAACTGTAATGGATTAGTTAACGCGGCAGAGTTGCGTCACGTGCTCTGTAGCCTTGGTGATAAACTGTCTGTAGAAGAGGTTGACCAACTTTTAGTTGGCTTCGAGGACAATCAAGGACAAGTGCTGTACGAGGAATTTGTCAAGCACATTATGTCGGGATGAAAGCTTGGTTTCCAACAAGAACGACGAAGAACTTGACTTTTTAAACTTTATCATTTCTAGGTTTGGCACTTTTAAAAGGCCTGTTCGTTAGCATTTGGAGAACTGAGAAATAATGAAGAATTTTTTGCTACTTTATTTTGCAGTGTTTATTTATTTATTTATACTCTTTTTATTTTCTCATATGTCTCTTAGTCTTTTTGCCATTAAACTGTGATAAATAAATAAATGAATAAACTGAGAAATATTGAAGAATTTTTTTGCTACTTTTGCAGTGTTCAAAGTGATGAAACTTTAGACTAGAAAGTGGGGATTCTTGCCCGTGAGTTACCATAAAGTCTTCTCCTTTGCCGCGGTAGCCTGCAAAACAGCCGTTTTTCCTCAACCTCGTCCCCAGGGCGCTTTTCCCGGGCCTTTTCCCGCCCTCACCTCCAAAGCCAGGGGGAAGCGCCCTGGGGACAAGGTCGGTTTTCCTCGCTCCTTGCCGCTGGGGAAGAAACAAAACGTCCCCAGCGGCGAGAAACGAGGAGAAACGGCTGTTTTGCAGGCTACTTTTACGGGTGAGTGTCTACATCAGATGCGTTCTGGGAACCGCTGCATATTTAAAGACTGGAGAATCCCAATAAAATCACCACGAAAAATCGCCTGTTCTTGAACCTGTGTAAGCGTAGGCAAGCCTGCCCTTAGGCTCGATTACCAGCCGCTGTTCGGGAAAATGAGCCAGCACTCACGAGGCTAGCCTGCCCTTCCCTTTCGAACGCCTGCCACGCAGGCTATAAAGAGTCAGAACTAGCCGGCCGGACTGATCATTTGGAGGTGAAGAAATAATAGTTTTTTTCTCCAAATTCTTGCTAACACCTACCTTGTCTGGCATTTCCGCAAATGGTATGCGCCTTATTATTTTACCACCTCAAAAATATACGTCCAGGCGATCTGAGAATCTACACGGGAGCGGCTCCTGAGCAAGTAAAGTTCACTTTGTTAGGTTTTCTCATGAACAAAGAAGTCGGGTGGCCCACAGCTGTCACGGCAAAACCGAAAAGCTCACGGCAAAACCAAAAACCTCACGACAAAAACAAACTACCTCACGGTATTTGGTTTTGCCGTGAGGTTTTCGGTTTTGCTGTGAGGTTTTCGGTTTTCCTGTGAGGTTTTCGGTTTTGCCGTGAGGTATTTTGTTTTTGCCGTGAGGTTTTTGGTTTTGCCGTGACAGTTGTGGGCCACCGTAAAAGAAGACAGGACCAGACAGCAATCTCTCGGAACAGTACGATTCCCGCCAAACCGCGTCTTCCTCCTCTGATAAGAGACTGGGGAAGTCATGAAAAGACGGAGCTCTCACTTTCCCTCCCCTCCCCCGTTGTAAAAAGAATCCGATTGACTTTTTTCGCTGATAAGGAGATTCAGGAGTTCGCGACCGATGGTTTGTCTTCGCAGTGTAATTTTGACCTGACTTTTGCACTTGGCAGGTATCAAGGTAAGCAAAGTATACGTTAAAAGTACGATTCGTAGTTTGTAACGGCAATTTTTAGTGAATTCCCATTTCATATGGAATATTTGGCCCGAGATCTGTGCTCATCCATTCAGCTGTTTGTCAGCTCGCTATCTGCAACTATGGTTGGCTGTCATAATATAATCAAGTTTAAACATCGTATTTTGTCTATATTTTTTGACAAATCGATTGTCAGACTGTTTAATTTGAAATACATTAAGAAGACATAGTCTGTTTGTTTGGGGCTTCATCAAGATAGGTTTCTTGGAATTTGGCGTACAATCTGTCCGATCCTGCGCTCTTCCTGAATCTTTGAATGGTTTGGCAGCATATTCTGAATGTTTGCAAAATCGATTGGGAATTTTGGGTCACCAAAATCGTTAACAATCAACTATGTACTTAAATTTCCTGTATGTGGTTTAAAGCAAGAAATTTTGAAGCTAAGACCATATGATAACTATTTTCATTACAACAAAGTAGTGCTGTTTGTGCTTTGTTCCTAGAAACAGGAAGTAGCATTTAGACTCATTCATCAATCGGTCATTTCCGCGTTTTGTTGACAACACTAAAAACCTTAGTTCGGATTTGATCAGAGGGTATTGGGCTTAATTGCATGTGTGAAGGAACACTTTTCTTAGGCTACTTTTTAGGTTTATTGACTAAAGCATCTCATTTGCTTATCTGATAAGTTAAAGAAGCATCTCTGAATTTTATTTACAAATGAGTCATTTTTTCACCGTTGTTTGGCACTTTGTTTTTGACTGACAAAAGCACCCTATGTTGACTTAGTTGTGCCCAGCTACTATGGTCTACTGCGAAGACAGGCAGAGGTCAAGAAAACAATAGGTTCAGGCTTTATACCATCCAGCTTCCTATCGGCTTGTTACTTTCCCTCCGTTTCTCCATATATATCATTCAAGATTAGGTCAACAATGAATCACGATGCTTCTCTGGAAACTGATATTCAGAAAAAACAAATTGTTAAGTCAACTTAACTCGTCTCTGGCTATGTAACTGAATTGTGCTCATTCAGGTATGGTTTGAAAGATCTCCCACCTCCCCCTGCACAAGTCACAGGTCAAAGTCATCCACATGTACTTGTGACATCATGGGCGCTTTCCATTCGACCAAAAATTCCGGAAATTCCGGGTTTGGGAGCGAATGGAACAGACATTTTCCGGAATTTAATTCCGAAATTTTGGGTGTACCTCGCGAGGTCAGCCTAAAATTCCGGAAAATCGGAATAACCGGAAAATTCCGTTCCATTCGACCATTCCTGAAGTGACCCTTAAACTCGTCAGGAAAATAGAGAGGTATCGTGCCCTCAAAGTAGTCACGGACTCAGTTTAAATTCCTACGCATGTAGGAGCTACCCACACTGAACAGCGTTATGTCCTTGTCCTCGTCCAATACTTCACTTATTTCAACTTCATAGTCGTCGAGCAACTCTAAAGCAAGTAAAATAGACAAAGAGTCCGCCATTTTTTGATTCCTCTGTTTATTTCGTATTTTCGCGGGAAAATTGGTACGTGATGGACTGGGACGGCTTGGTTCAAACCAACCGGAAAATACTGTTCCATTCGTCACATGGAATACTCGAAATTTCATTCCGGAATTTTTGGTCGAATGGAAAGCGCCCCATACGTTTAAATAGTCATTGTACATTAACAAGAGACATTGATCCAAATGTGCATTCATGGGTGTTTGAGGTGTCATTGGGTTGAATCTATGGCAAGAATAGAATAGAACAGAATATAGAATATTTTTTTTGCAGGTACAAATGTTATAAGATCTCTCGAACATGGCATCTGCAAGAATTCGAAAACTTACTATTTTTGTGAGATTCAACTCCAGTACGAACATACCAGTCCAAATCGAACCCCAGTGGAATGTGTTAAAATTAAAAGAGGAGATTGGTCAGAGACAGGGAGTAGATCCTAAAGATATTAGAATTGTATTTGCTGGNGACAAAGAGTCCGCCATTTTTTGATTCCTCTGTTTATTTCGTATTTTCGCGGGAAAATTGGTACGTGATGGACTGGGACGGCTTGGTTCAAACCAACCGGAAAATACTGTTCCATTCGTCACATGGAATACTCGAAATTTCATTCCGGAATTTTTGGTCGAATGGAAAGCGCCCCATACGTTTAAATAGTCATTGTACATTAACAAGAGACATTGATCCAAATGTGCATTCATGGGTGTTTGAGGTGTCATTGGGTTGAATCTATGGCAAGAATAGAATAGAACAGAATATAGAATATTTTTTTTGCAGGTACAAATGTTATAAGATCTCTCGAACATGGCATCTGCAAGAATTCGAAAACTTACTATTTTTGTGAGATTCAACTCCAGTACGAACATACCAGTCCAAATCGAACCCCAGTGGAATGTGTTAAAATTAAAAGAGGAGATTGGTCAGAGACAGGGAGTAGATCCTAAAGATATTAGAATTGTATTTGCTGGGCGAGAACTAAAGGATGACCTCAGACTAAAGGTACCCTGAAATATACATTGATCTTGGTTAAATGTATATACAGTCAAGTAATTGTAGTTAGGTGTCCCCAAACCTTGCCCGTCCCATAACATATAAGACAAAACTGTTCTGGAACCAAATGTTTTCCAGCAGATCTGTTATGTATGAGAGACAAGAGACTATATCTTCTTGGAGGTCTGTAAAATAAACTCAAACCAATTTAAAAAAAAGAAAAGTACTTTTCCCTGAAATCTTTGATCCCATAAGAATGGAAAACAGCAGAGACAAGGTTGTACATGCATATAGTTATGAAGACTTCAAATGCATTTGGAAAACTTCAGAGGTTTGCATATACAATATGGGTTCTCTATGAAAAATCCTCTCAGGACAAATAACTTATGCCTTTGAGTTAAAAAAAGTTAGCAGGTGTTCTCTTATCTTTAATACCCAGATTCATACTACCAAACCTATAACTTGTGAAACCCTCTGTTAAAAATGATCGTTATTATCATTGATTATGATAATGATTTGATTTATCAGGATGCAGATATTCCCAACCAAAGTGTCATTCATGCTGTGCGTGGAGGTCGCTGGTCTGCAAGGCAAACTAGGGGTGCAGCAACCCCATTGTCCAAAGTTTGTCTTGATACTGTTGGAGAGGAGATGGAAGAAGAAGCTGCAGAGAATGGTACAGTTGGAGGTAACACCTTCTTACTATAGTAATGTTGATAATTTCACTGCATTGCCTGACTACTTCACTGAGTGTTTTATCCTTCCTTTTATCCTGGATAAATATTTGATCATTATTATAATATTATAATTATTATAATATTGTTATTATAATTATTATATATTGTTACACCAAATGCCTTTTATGTGATGAAAGATTACCAACAAACCTTGGCTACTGGCAGTATTGTTTGCCGTTCCGATAAAAGAAAAATATATTTGTATAATCTTGGTATTTGATACGATGATACAGATTTTGACCATTCATCATTTCATTCTTTAGAGTCGTAACATCCATCTTTGCCTAGGCAACAATAGCAGACACTACAAAGCTCTCTATGTCTCATGTTCTTTTCAGATAGCAATGTGGGTTTTCTCTTGCATGACAACTGGAGAAAAACCTGTCTACAAAAATTCAGAATAATGGTGGCAAAGAATTAGAAATACTATCGTCAGTTTCACACTTGAAGCATTGCTTTGTTCCATACATTTCAGCATCTGCAAATCAGCCTCGCCGAGCAAGCTATTTTGTTTACTGCAAAACTTGTAAAGATATTACCCCAGGAAAGCTAAGGGTTTGTTGTTCACGCTGTCGTGAAGGAGCAATGGTTCTATATCAGGTATGGGTATTTAGTTTTTTAGTTACAATTTTATCAAGGTTTTCAGTTATTTTCTTGCATGGTTGAATGTTAAACCTAACGTAATGTAACCTAATTTTTAGGATGGAAAGTTCTCTATAATTTCTTGTGTAGAATTAAAAGTAAAATCTATGGAAAATTTAATACAAGTCACAGATCAAAAACGTAGCATTGTGCTTTAGCTGTACTGACAATCTGGGCCAAGTTGTTCAAAGCTGGGTTAAGATAACCCAGGGTTAGTGCGATATTTGAATTAAGATTTGAAAGCTTAAAAAGCATTTCAGCTTTAATTCTTTTTGTCTACAAGTTGATAATTGGAAGCTCTAAAACTAGCACAGAAAATTATCTGAGAAAATGCTTTTGAACACATATAAAGAAACCCGGGTTAATTTTAACCCTGGGTTAAGCGCTAATCAGCCTTCGAACAACTCGGCCCTGATCTGAGGAGGCCGGGTCTTAATAAGGCCTTTTTTGCATTATATTCTGCCAGCTCTCATTCTTTCTCTCTTTTATATATCTGCATGCATTCTTAAACTCCTCCCTTCTTCTGCCTATTGCTTTCCCAATCACTTCCTACTTAGTAGGTTTTTATGTAATGTTTACAAAACAACTAGTANAACCTAATTTTTAGGATGGAAAGCTCTCTATAATTCCCGTGTAGAATTAAAAGTAAAATCTATGGAAAATTTAATACAAGTCACAGATCAAAAACGTAGCATTGTGCTTTAGCTGTACTGACAATCTGGGCCGAGTTGTTCAAAGCTGGGTTAAGATAACCCAGGGTTAGTGCGATATTTGAATTAAGATTTGAAAGCTTAAAAAGCATTTCAACTTTAATTCTTTTTGTCTACAAGTTGATGATTGGAAGCTCTAAAACTAGCACAGAAAATTATCTGAGAAAATGCTTTTGAACACATATAAAGAAACCCAGGTTAATTTTAACCCCGGGTTAAGCGCTAATCAGCCTTCGAGAAACTCGGCCCTGGTCTGAGGAGGCCAGGTCTTAATAAGGCCTTTTTTGCATTATATTTCGCCAGCTCTCATTCTTTCTCTCTTTTATATATCTGCATGCATTCTTAAACTCCTCCCTTCTTCTGCCTATTGCTTTCCCAATCACTTCCTACTTAGTAGGTTTTTATGTAATGTTTACAAAACAACTAGTAGGAGCGTATTATCAGGGTTAAAAACTTGAGGTGAAGCCGAGAGTTTTTAAACTGATAATACACGACTGCGAGTTTTTTGAATGGCTTCAAAATCTCTGATATAGATAAACTCATTCTTGCACTAATATTTAGATTTGGGGCTATTTGAAACACTTAACAGGATATATACTCTGTTATTCCTGCTGCACGTCTGCTTTCACTAGAGGTTCTCTGGACAGTCATATCCTATTTCAGAGAGTCTGCCATTTTCCACAAAACATATTCCACTGCTATTTATAGTATACAGAAAACACTGATTAAGCAATTAAGTATCATGGCAATACTTAAGATGATCATGACTCTGCCTTTTCATGAACAAACTGCCCTCAGATACAATAAATTTAACATCTTGATTTCATGATTTTTATATTGACTTGCAACATCTAGCTTATACAGTGTCTTTGCAAGACTGTCATGTAAGCAGATATCAATGAAAAGTAATGAGGCACCATTTCTTTCACATCAATTTTTTTTATGTTTGCATTCAACCTGCTGTTCTTCCAGACTGGAAGCAAACGACAGACCATAAAAATAAGTTCTAATTCCACCATTGTCTTCCTTTTCCAGTTCTGTATTGAAAAAAAATCAATCAATTTTCGGTCCAATTAGATGTAGTCAAAACTTTAAAAAATGGAGCTTTTTTGCTAAACTCACCACAAAATGTAGTTCCCTAATTTGTCGTAGAATGTTGAGTAGTACTTCCAGACGGTTATGACCTCTGTTTTCATTGGCCTAAATATAAAAGCAGTAGCTTCTTTTGTATTTAGGGCTAGGGGTATTGTTTGTGTTGAATTATCTATTGTTTCGTTCTTCAATCACAGACCATGTCTGGACAGCTACTGACCTTCTTAAATGTTGCCTAAGTTTTTCCCCGTACCGTAAGTGAAGTTTCAGACTTTTGTCAGCAGACTCTTTTTGTCATGTGTCAATAGGTCCACCACAGGCTACCCAGTTCTTATTTCATTTCTTACCTTGTACACAGGACCCTAACAGCTGGGATGATGTTCTGAAGCCTGCTAGAATAAGAGGATCATGCAAAAGTCCAAGATGTGAAGGAGATACAGCGGTATTGGCTATATAAACTGTTTTAAAATGTGTGTTTAGCCTGGGGTGGGCTGTAAAGCAATACTCAAACTGACGTCACCTATTGATATTAATGTGTCAACCAGAGTACCATGTTGGTTCTTGTAACAAATTAATTTTCTTACTGTTTCACTTGTTAAAAATTTGAAAAACAAATAAGCAATGTTTGTAAACAGTGAGTATTGCTATTCTTTATGTAAATTATGATGATGAAGGTTAATTTTTGTATATACAGTGTATAGTGGGTACCCTGTAGCAGCCTTATCTAATAACTTCACTCATGTAACTTCTTACATGTACATGTTGTTGTCGACTGTTTTTTTTGGTATCAAATCCCCTCAGATTTACTTTCATCATTTCAGGGCTTCTGGTATTTTGTATGGGATGGCAATGGGTTACATAATCCATAAGAAATCCCTCTGGGTTTTTAATCACAAATTGCATAACCTTTGCAAAGCAACAAATTTAAACATTCATTTAGTAACTCTACAAAGTATTAAACTGTTAATCAGCATGCACAACCTCTTAAATAGTCTACATTGTAATTTTGATGTGAATCTAATGAACTTTGTTTTATACCTAATTTTCTCTACAGAAATCACGTAAAGTTTGTTCTGCCACTTTCTTAAAATTTTACAGTTTTTTTCTTGATCTTTCGACTTGTGTACACAGGGCTGATAACTGCATCAATTGATCTTCTGAGTGAGGTCTCCAAGTTGTCTGCGTACTGTGTCGACAGATTTCTGAAATATTACAAAATATCATGGGATCTCCCAAAAATTCTGCATACTTAATTTGCCTGTACATGTTTTTTTCTTCATGAATTCTTTCACAGGTTTTTTACTTTAAATGTGCTCAACACCCAACTGATGAAGGAGACAGATGTGTAGCCCTTCCTTTAATTCGTCCAAATACAAGAGACGTTCCCTGCTTAGCTTGCACAGACACCAAGTAAGTATGCAGTACTCATTTAAATGGAACACTGATAATAAGTGAACCTTTTACAATGAAGTATGATAACTTTGCAGGTTTTTGGGCTCCTGATACACTGAAAACCAACTGTCGTGAAACCACAATTATCTTAATTGTAGAAATAGATATGTAAACTATGTTTTGGCTGAGTTGATTATGATCTATTTTGCTTTGTTTTAACATTTTCATGACAAAACACAAGAGTGAAAATCCTCAGTGAAAAAAAAAGGAAGGAAAGAAAGAAATTAAATACTGTGAAAGATGCAATCGTTGGGGATCATGTTTTTGAAACAAGCAGCCATTGATCCACCAGTAGTTTTCAACTTCTAGTAACCCCAGCGCTTGTATTGTACAAGTTGTAGTTAACTTTTATCTCAGGTAATTTTTCTTTTTCTTTTGTGTCAACTTCATTAGCATACATTTACATACCCAAAAACAAAAGAAAAACAAAAATTACTTGACATAAAAAATTAACTACAACATATACATGTACCTATCCTCCATCCGTTGTCCTCTGCTCATGTGCTTTCTCGCCCTTTGACTTGGGGACGATACTCTCTAACATGGCCTATGTGGAGAGGCTCCGCCCAAAGGGGTACCATTTTTTAGGCTTCAGGTATATGAAAGGGTCACGGATTTCACTAGTTGAAGTACATGTCTGTAAAAGGACCTAAAGGAGCTAACAGACAAATCTTATGACTGTGAAAAAGACAGAAAAACTTGCCTCTTCACGTGTTCCCGTCAGGTCACCCTCCTTTTCCGATGGCATTATTTATCAACCTCACCAACCTCATCATCATCATCATCATTGTCGTCGTTGTCTTAGTGATCAACATCATCGTCATCATTGTCTCTTTTTGGCATCTCCATTGCAGTAAATGAAAGCTAATCAAAGTTGAGCTAATGGAAGACACCTTAAAACTTGCTCATTTTATCTTCTACAGGGAAACCATTCTTGTTTTCCCTTGTCAAGATAAACACGCGATATGCCTGGACTGCTTTGAG